TTTATAAATCTCAAATCTGTCCTTCTATAATATTAAGAATATTATAGAAAGACAGATTTGGAAATTTATAACAAAGAATTGTTGCTATATCTGGAGCTGATCTTCGAATGATGCCCTTTCTGTTTTAAACAAGCTGCAAAAATGCTTTGTAAACATAGTTGGACCTGCTTTTGCAGCCAACATTCAATCACTGTCACATTGTTGTAGTGTTGCTTCTCTTTCTCTTTTCTATAAATACTATTGACCTTGACAAGCAAGACTGCTGCGCAGAGAAATTAAGTTGAGCGCGGTACTTCCAGGGACATGGTGGGAGTCGAACTCCGAACTGCTCGCTTACAAAGCGAGCGCTCTTACCACTACACCACTACCGCATATAAATGTCTCTTTTACCATCTACTAAAATTCATTCTCATGTTATTCATCATTCAATTAAGTCAATCTTTTTTCTGTGACTTAAAAATTCTTATTTGTCTAGTTTTTTTTCTCGAACATCTTTTCTTTTGAATTTGCTCCCATCTTGTTTTCCTGATTCATATAATTTGCAATCTTTTAAGTCTGTTAATTGTTATCTTGCTTTATAAACTTCATCTTTTCTCTTCCAGTAACTTCTAACTCTAATATTGGTTGCTTGCAGCCTTGTTGGAAGTGAAGATAATTAAAAAAAAAAAAATCTGTCCCTGCATGTTCTAAAAAGTTTGTCTGGTTTTTCACCGCACTTTAATCCTTTGGAACTGTCTACCATCTTCATGTTATCATGACTCATACAACCTACAACTTTTCAAGTCCTCCATCAACCATTTCCTTGGTCTTTAACTCTATTATTTGTTTTTTAGTAACTTTTAAATTAATAGTAGTTGCTTGCAGACTTGTTCAGAATGAATTAGATTTAAATTCTTATACTGGTTATATAAACTTTTCAAGTTTATTTAAAAATAATTATGCCAAAACATTTTAAAAAACTTTTCAATAACAAACTTTTTTACTTCAAACACAAAAATGTAATAATGAACAATCATTTTTTCGCTTTTTTTTTTATTATTGCATAATTTAAATGCGCTAGATGGTTTTTACTATTATTGTTTATGTAAATAAAATACTACTCAACCTAAAAGCATATTAAAATTAATAAAAACGTTATTGAGTATAACAAAAATGTGATAAATTTTGGTGTTAAAAAAAGAAAATTGTGTTTATTATAGGCTTTATTTCGCTCATGTAAACTGAATTACACGGGTGTAGATGCAGTCCCTCCAATTCTCTGGAGGTCTTTATATGTATGTGTGTGTGTGTGTGTGTGTGTGTGTATGTGTGTGTGTGTGTGTACATATATATTTACTGGCCTTGTTTTAAATAAAAAATGCATTAGCTTAACACAATATTTGACGTCATAAAATTCTTTTTATTATTTAAAGACATTAACTTTTTTAAATTACTGCAATAATAATGCAATAATAACGAGTTAAATGTTATTTAATGACTTTTTTATTATTACTATAAAGGAATGTTTATCTTTTATTTATTTTTTTTAATATTAAATAATTAAATTTAATATTGCATTTTTAAAAATGTTTGATATTGACAAATTTTTTTCTTTTTTTACACTCTAAGAAAAAATCCGTTGTATACAACAAACTGCATCTGTCGCTATTGCACCAATAAGTTTTCCATTTGTTAACGGATTAAAATTTTAACAGATTGAAGTTCATCGATATTAGTCTGTTAAAAATAAGGATTTATTCCATTCGTGCAACAAACAATTCGTTAAAATAAGGGAATTATTATGCTAGGCAGCTTATGCATTTATTGGTAAAATAAAGAATTTACTATGTCATCGTATAGAATAATTTATTATTCCCTTTATTAAAATTACAAAATAGTCCTTATTTTTGATATATAGATTATCTTATTATGATATTCAACATCTAATAAAAGTAGTATTACTTATACTAACTAACATGATCGGGAGAGATTTTTTTGCAAGCTTTAAAAACGTTTTAACTTTTGAATTAAAAACTAATTAAATGTTTATAATAATTTAATTCAATAAAGAAATTTTCAATTACAATAAAAATTAAAAAATTTAAATAAAATTATAAAAAGTTTTTTAATATATATTTTGTTAATACAGTTATATTCAAGGTCAAAAACATTTATATAAAAAACACAGACATGTATAAAATTGTTACTATAATAGGTTTCAATTTTTAATGTGTGTCCACATTTCAATTCCAGCAACCTGTTGTCGATTATTTAAAGATTAACAAACCTTAAAACAAAATAAAGAAATTATTGAATATAAATGATATACCATAATACTAAATGGAAATAAATTTTTACTAATAACCCTGTAAGAAACATTTGTTGCTAGTTCTTTATTTCTAAATTGCTAATAAAAATTATGTTATTATATTAGTTCTACATTTCAATGTATTAAACAAAGATTAGACGCGCTATAAAAGATAACCTTACCTGCTAAATGAAAAGTTCTAAAATTTTTACACGCATCAATAGTTGTAAAATTTTTACACACATCAAGATTAAAAGGAAAAAAGTCTCTCACCTTTTTATTTAATAATAATAAATGCGTTAAAAGTATTATTATTAGAATTTAAATTTATGCCTGAATGCCACATGTCTAAAGTAGCAAGTTCTATACAAATATAAACAAGCAATATATAAACTTAGTTGTAACTAACATAAAAAAATTACAAGTAAAAAAAAAAAAAATAGTTTTAAAACTAATTTAAACTTACAGAGTGATATAGCATGATATGTGTCTAAAATAGCAAATTATGAAAGCATATACAAACTCAAATATGCAAATTATAACAATCCATATATAAACTTTACTGTAACTAGCCTAAATAAATACCCATAAAAAAAAAAAATGCAAGTAAACATTTTACAACTGATGAAACTTACCATGTGATATTACATGCCACGTGCCTAAAATAGTCAATTATAAAAGCATATAAACAAATTATATGTAAACTTAGCTTTACCTAGTCTAAATAAATATACCCATTAAATTAAATGCAAGTAGACATTTAAATTTGATACCTCATGCCTGAATGCCACATGTCTAAAGTAGCAAGCTCTACACAAATATAAATAAGCAATATATAAACTTATTTGTAACTAACATAAAAAAAGTTGCTAGTAAAAAAAAAAAAATTTTTTACAACTAATTTAAACTTACAGTGTGATATAGCATGACACGTGTCTAAAATAGCAAATTATAAAACTTAACTATACAAATATAGCAATATATACATAAACTTTACTGTAACTAGTCTAAATAAATATTGTAACTAGTCTAAATAAAAGTAAACATTTTACAACTGATTTATTTTACAACTGATGAAACTAACAGTGTGATATTGCATGATGAAACTTACAGTGTGATATTGCATAAAAAATTTAAAAGTTTAACAACCTTCGAAATTACAAATAACAGAGTGCGATTTAAACTGTGTTTATCCATTTGTTTTCTCAACTAAAATTAAATAAAAAAGGAAATGGATAAACACAATTTAAATTACGCTTTTTTTAAATAGCTTCACATTTAGTCGAAATGTTAAGCTATTTAAAAAAAGGAACTTTTTTTAAATAGCTTAACATTTCGACTAAATGTGAAGCTATTTATATCGCTTTATCATTATTATTATTATTTTATTTATTTTCTTAGCGATTTTTGGTTCATATTTATTATTTTTATAATTATTTTATTATTATACTAATTGTTATAATTGATTTGTGTCACTCATTTTGATTATGAATGACACATGTCATCATATTATTTGTATTATTATAGATAATATTATTATTTTTAGTTATTGTTTTTATAATTATTTGGTGTCACTCCTTTGATCAGGCTTCTGTTTGAGTGACACCTTCCTTTTCAAATAATTATTTATAATTATTCTTATTAGTTAAATTTTATTATAATTATATTATTTGTATTGTTGTAGATAATATTATTATTTTTTAATTATTGTTATAATTATTTGGTGTCACTCCTTTGATCAGGCTTCTGTTTGAGTGACACCTTTCTTTTCAAATAATTATTTATATTTATTCTTATTAGTTATTTTTTATTATAATTATATGTATCATTATAGATAACATCATTATTTTTTATAATTATTTGGTGTCACTCCTATATATATATGTAAATTTTGAAAAAGGGAAATAAATATCTTGTTGTTGTTGTTGTTAGTTAAAAAATACAGATGCATGATGTTTTTGCTGTAGTTAACCACCTGCAGTCTGAAATAGCCCCTGAATCATGCTTAGCCAATAGTAATGATCAGTGCTAAAATTATTTGCCATGACTCCAGAAAAATCCATATCAATTTTCCTATACAAAATAACTGGCAGTTGTTCACAGTAGCATCTAAATGTTAATGGATTTGCAGTGACATCTATTCAAGTGCTCCAATAAATGCTCAGTGGTATTCATCGACATGTAACTGGCACACAAACTACTACAAATATCAGCAAATTTCTTGTTCTAACAATCTGATGAGTGTTATTATTGTGCCATCATCATCTATATGAATCCTTTATAAACATATAGATCATTGTTATGTATAAAATATAAAAAATTATTCAGAGAAAAAATAAAACAGTCAGTAATTACAAATTAAATAATACTAAATGGTTCTAGATTTAATTGACTAAAACAAAATATGTGAATACTATATCTAATTATAAAGAAATTCTGAAAAAAATTTTATATATTTATTTTACACAGCTATTAATAATTAAGTTTGGTCAATTGCTTCCACATACTTAAAAATGCATGATTTGGAACTTCGTGGTGTTCTTTATATTTTATGTAATTATAAATATTATTTGATTATTTTTAGTTTGTGTATTACAAATATAAAATATAATTATAATAATTATCTTATTTATAAAATATCTTTTTTTTAATTTAATTATTTTTCAGAATTTTAAAGACTTTTCAATATAGTTTGAATAATTTTTTTTTTTAGTTTAAAGAATGAGTTCAAAAAGAAAATGTTGTGGATGTTGGACTTTAATTCAAAGTTTTTTAAAAAAAGGTCAATCACGGTAAGTTTTTCCCTATAAAATTGTAAAATTGCTTTTATGTAAGAATTTTAATATAACCTGTTAGTTAAAAATTTATATGTAGGGTTGGGAGTAGAGGGTTGTGTTGTGGAATAAAAGATCACAATTTAAATTTTCGATGAGCATTTTTTTGAATTATTTAATAGAATCACAAGCGACACACAATATTGATTATAAAAGTATCACACAATATATAGTAAGAATTAATAAGTAAGGAAAGATAAGTATTGAGATATTAAGAATAAAGAAATAAAATAAGTGATAAGCAAAAAATTACACCAGATGATTTCAGTCATGTTTGAAACACATTTTTATGATTTAAATAATTATAAATAGTGATATTGGATTTCTAAATAATAAAAACAATGGTAGCATTTAAAAAATTTTTTTTTGCTTAGGTATATGGTGTTACTTAAATTTGAAATATTAAATCTGTTATAAACAGGCTAAAAACTTTTAATGTTTACTTTAAAAGAAAAGGGTATGATTACTTCCAGAAAGTTTTTATTTACAGTTATCCTTCATCTTTTTTTTAAAAAGTCTTTTTTAAATTATACATACCAGATATGTGAAATAGTTGAAAATTCAAACTGAAAGTGGTTTCTAAATTAGTGTTTCTAAAGATTTAGTCTCAGGGTTTTTAGTTCCAGGGCATTTTAGTCCCAGGATTTTCACAAAATTTCTGCAGAAAAATCTTATTCTTGTTTTTGTTCTTTTAATAAAGTTTTTAATAGAACTGGATCCTTTTTTAATGGTGCTGGAACCTTTGGGACACCACTGATTCCACAATTCCAACTAAATTTGTTCTCTTTAAAATGCTAATATATAAATTTAAATTTATTGGTTGATTATTTTTAAAAAATGTTTTTGTTTTTATTGAAGTTATACTATATTACAATCAACAAATTGTTGTTCTATGTTTTAGATCTTATGTAAGAAATAAATACAATGAAAAAGAATTCAATGTTGAGGTATAATTGGTAATTTTTAAATAAATGTGAAAATAGTATTAAAAAAATCCTTTTTTTGTTTAATTTTAAAACTATTTTTGATATAATTTGGTAGGACTATAAAAAATGGTGGCCAAAGAGAGTGCCAATTTTTAAGTTGTGTCAATCAAATGAAACTTTTTTTATTCAAGACTATTTTTCTTGTAATAATAGAAAAGAGTTTTTTTTTGAATCCAAACAAAGTGCTAAGAGTTGTAATTGGGGGAAAAGGGTAAAATTGAGAGGGGATTTAGCCCATTTAAGGATTTTAGATGCATGCTATAAATTTTTTTTTTTCTTGCAAGAGTATTTTTTTTATTAAATTAGAAAAGAGTGTTTATAAAATTGTAAATAATTGATAAGGGTCATAAATGGGACAAAGGGTAAAATGGAGAAGGTCTTAGCTCATTAAAGCATTTTAGATGCTCATTATAGTAAAATATATATATTAAATTTCAAAAAATTTCAACAAAGTTTAAAACAACAAAAACATTTAAAAATATTTACAATATTAGTGTATATTTGATATATAATCAAGCATCCAGGTCTTTTAATAAGAGTCCTTTAATATACCTTAACATATCAGTTTTCCCAATATATGATAACGGTAATATTTTTAGACTATTTTATAGCAAGTCGCCCTAGCAACATTTTATAGCCTGTAGATCAAGCAACATTTTATAGCATGTAGATTGAGCTACATTGTTTTAATTACTTTTAAAGATATTATCCTCAATTTACAAACTCAAAACCATTTAACTAGATACTCTTAGTATGTTATATGAAGACCATTATGATTTTGATAATGACACACAGGGTTATGGGAACCATCATTTCATCCAATGGTTTTATTTGGAATTTTAAAAATTAAATAGTTACTGTCATTTTACCAATGTCTACTGATATAGAATATATGTTCATATCATTAATATCAGTTGAACTGAATGCTTCAAAACAGACTTAAAATCATAAAAATGAAGACCAGTATTATTGTTTTTTGACATAATATTTTTTAAATAAAGCTAATAACTTTAAAAAAAGTTGTTATTGACATATATAAACAACAACATATTTATGCATTTGTAATAATGAAAGTAAAATATAAACTGCTAGGGTCAGTTATTAAATAAAATATAGCAAAAAAATTTGCTAAAAGTATAATCTTTTTGTACTAAAAAGTAGAAAATAAATTTGTTAATTTAAATTTAATAGTTCAGTAAACTAAAGATTGACAGGTATGTTTCTATATAAAACTTGTGCTGACCTGTCAATCTTTAGTTTACTGAACTATTAAATTTAAATTAAAAAGTTTATTTTCTACATTTTAGTACAAAAAGATTATATTTTTAGCAAATGTTTTTGCTATATTTTATTTTCTACTTTTTAGTCTTTACAGAGAGTTACAATATTTTGCAATGCGTTTGTCTAGACATGTGTAATTAGGTGCAGTTTTTTATCCTAAAGAATTGGAGTATTTTCTGATTAAAGGAGCGGAATATTTTTCTTTTAAAATATAAAAATTTTTTATACTATATAAAAGTAAAATAACATAAAGTACAAATATTTCATTTGCATTGCAACCCACATCCTCCCACAGATGTAGTATATTTTTATATTAATATTCAACAAAGTTAACATAACTTTGTAAGTTACTTTTTCCATTTTATTAAAAAAAAATTTTTTTCAAAAAAAAGTATTAAAGAAAAGATTTAAAAAGAAATACAAACCCACAAGCAATCTTAGCCAATTTTAAAAATAAAAAGATTTATTTTTAAAAGAGAACAAAGTATATTCAAAAAAAAAATTACAAACCCATAAGCAATAATAGCCTATTTTGATGAAAATGAAAAGATTTGTTAAGCAATAAATATTACTACTATAAACAAACCCACAAGCAATTTAGTAGCAAATTTTTATTTTAAATGTTAGTTTTTAGAGCGCTGTGGACGACAAAGAAAGTTGAAAAGTAGATCATATTAAGTGAAAGGAAAGACTAAAAGATATTAAATTTTTTAGCAAATGTTTTTGCTAAATTTTATTTTCTACCTTTTAGTCTCTACGATATTTAGCATTTTTTGTGACGCCTCACACATGCTAGTTCACATTTATGCCAATTCGCGCCTAATTAGCCTCCAGAAATAAAGGAGCAGAATATATATTTTTTTAAAGGAGAAAAATTTTTTATATAAATGTAAAATAACATAAAGTGCAAATATTTGCTGCTCTCGTCCTCCCACATGTAATATATTTTTATATTAATATTAGACAAAATTATGTTGTAAGTTATATTTTTCAACTTTATTTAAAAAAAAAATTTTTCAAAAAGAAAATATTAAAAAAAAATTTAAAAAAAAGATACAAACCCACAAGCGCAATATTAGCCGATTTAAAAAATATTTTAAACATTTATTAATGAGAAAAGGTTACTTATTAATAAAAAAATGAACCCGCAAGCAGTTTAGAAGCAAATTTCTATATAAAAGGTTAGTTTTTATGTGTCCCTTGGACATCAAAGAAAGTTGAGGAAGAGTTCATGTTAAGTGAAAGAAAAGATTATAAAAATAAATCACAACAAAAAGGATTCAATTTCTTATTGGATTTTAAATTTCTGCAAACTATTTATTTTTAAAGTATTTTATTACAGGTAGAAAAAGAACTTTAATTTAGTGAGGAGCAAATCAAGTACGGTTTAAAGAATATTTAAAATGTTTAAATTAAAATTAATTGCAAATATTTTTGTTAATAAATTGTTAAATCAGTTTAAAAAAATCAAAATTTGTTGTACATGAGAGGCTCCTGCATTTGCAAAAAAGCTTTTAAAATCTTCTAGAGTTTAAGCAGCAGATGAAGAAAAACTGAAAGCCCTCAAAGCAATAATTTAAAAATTCTAAATTTATTTGTTTTTGATTTATAATTAAATTCATTTTAATTTATGTTTGACTTTTAGATGATTGTGCATAACCATATTACATACGTAATATTCTTACAAAATATTACATACATATTCTAACAAAATATTACAAACATAATGTTCTAACAAAATTTTACATACATAACATTCTAACAAAATTTAATTTTAATTTTTAAGAGACATTAAAGTGCTTGAATAATTAAATATCAGAATAAATAAACAACAGTTGCCGATGATTGTTTTATGTATTTATAATATGATACAAAATATTACATTGTAAAACTCAAAGAACTGTTATTAAAATGTAATCAATTTTAATTTGTTTTATTATTTTGAAATTCTTTATCTAAATATCAAAAAAGGTTGTAAATATGCTTATCACTCATGTTGGCTATTATATTTGTTTTAGACTGGCGGTTCACTGCTCGTGCACTCATTTACTACACCGAGGCCTATATTTATATATATATATATATATATATATATATATATATATATATATATATATATATATATATATATATATATATATATATATATATATATATATATATATATATATCTGTGTGTGTTTGTGTGTGTGTGTGCATGTGTGTGTGTGTACTACAAAACAAAAAAGTTTGCAACCAAGATAGTATTGGCATATTCATGCGCAAAATTATAATTTTTTTATTGTAAAATGCTTACTGCATTAAAGATTAAAGGCTATGTCTTATGGAAGGGAAGGGTTGTTACCAAGTATGTAAACAAGAATATCATTTGCATTTTTTTGTGTAATGCCTTTCTGGAGGTAGTTACTTATGTCTAGTGCATAAATTAAAAATAGGATTTGGCCAAGAATGCTTCCTTGTATCACTCTTAAAAATGTTTCTAGTCAGTAGACGTTAAATATGCTGTTTATGATATGTTTACTTTTTAATCAAAGATTGTACTTAAAGTGATAAGTTAATTTCAGATTTGTGCATAAGAATAGTGTGGCTGACGAGAATGTTTCTGTAAAATTAAAGAGTATAGCTGTAAGGACAGTGTTACAGGCAATGGCATAATTGCAGTTAGCTATTATTCGTATGATGGCTTTATTTTTATTATGAAAGTAATGTATTTATTGTATTATGTATATATGTATTGTTATAGTTTTTTATAGTTTTATATTAATTTTGTTACAGTAATTACAGTAACAAACTGCAGTAATTGTTGCTCAATTACTGTAGTAATTGTATCTTGTTTTCTTGTTTAATCTCAATAAATGAATCTCAGTAAATGAAAACAAAAAATTTCAATTCAATTCAGATTATTTTCTGTTTTGATCTATATAAAATTTAGATATAATCTTTTTAAAATCTATCTTTTGCATCACTTTAACTTTGCTCTTTTTAGAATCCCAATTGTTTTCATATAACCTGCATTTTCCTTGAAAAGCTTTATTAATCAATTAACTATTTCAAAAATCATTCTCAAAAATTGTCTCTAGAAAAAAATGTAAATAAATATTGAGGTATGGACTCAGTAGCAGTGGATTGCATATCTTAATCATTTACGCTATGCAGTCCACTTATTTAATTATTTCCATAATATGATCTACAATTCATAATATGAATATATTGATCAATATATATATACATTGCACATAATTTGAAAAAAATATATATAATTTTTTTTTTTAAATGTGCTATAAATAATAGCACATCAGCTTAATAATTAGTAAATTAGCTCATTATGTTTTTGTTTTTTTTTAGTTTGAAAGTCTGTTAGATGAAGATCATAAATTAGAAGAGGTAAATTTATTCAGTTTAATGTTTTAATTCATGCTGGTCTACGCAGGTGGGTCTATAGAAGTTTCATCATTTAAAAAAGGTGTTTTTAGGCATACTACACTATATGGAAAAATGATTTATACAGTTTAGTTATCATTTGATACAGTTAAATTTCTTCGTGAATACAATATAAGTAGGAAAGCAGTATAAATGTTTATTAGTGTTTGTATTTTTATTCTGAAATTTTTTTTTCTTATCTTTGATATTGCACACACTTTTATTTAGACTTGATAAAAAAAAAGTACCCTGTTAAAGTTTTAGTTAAATTTAATGAGGGGAAATCATCTCCAAAACAGCTCCCAAAACTGATTTGCCTATAAACCTAATCTTTAACTACAATGTTTATTACAATGCTGCTAGAAATTGTTTAACATAAAGTAGTGTAGTGCTGCAACATAGGTAGTTCATAGAGGTGAAGAAATGCAAGCAATTTTAGATTTACGCCATTATCTCTGTCATTATTTACCAAAAATTTTTCTTAAATGTCTTCTTTGATTTCATTATCAATAGTTATTTTACTTGCAATAATTTATCATTTAATTAATCTTTTTTAATAGATTTAATATTAGTAATGACATGGATGGTTATAGAAGGGGGAGAGGGTTTCTGAAAGAAATCAGTAACATCAGAAGACTTGAAATATAAGCAATTAGTTTCCCCATGAGAATTTTTTTTCTTTTTTTTTTTTTCTTTAGCTCTGAGTATTTATTATTTAATTTTGATTTTATTATAGTAAAAAAGTATAAAAATATTACTTTTAACAAGTAGTGCTGCCCTATGCCCAGTGTTTTATGAGATAACGTTCAAAAAGAATACACACAAAAATACTTTTTTGAAATATTTGAGTGTGTGCTAATTTAAAATATTTGTGAGTATGTGTGAATGGTCACCAGGCTTCCGTGTGTTCATTTTTTTAAAGGCTAAAGTCAAAAGCTAGAGCAGCCTAAATATTAAAACAGTATTCAATATGAAACAGTATACAAATAGAAGTAGAGAATGAAGTCAGAAGTAAAAAATAGCAACCTAAAAAAAATACGCCTAAACATAACCTGGCCTTAACACTTTTAAATATGACCAGTATTATATTAATTGTAAATTATATCACAACCGTAATAAGAAGTTTTTAATTTTGTGATGATTAAAAAGCATTTGGAAGAATTTTCATTATTTAAGAGCAACTGTTTGTATTCCTGGGGCCATTATGCAAGATGGATAGGTAAAAGTAAATATTATTTTAAAATAATGTTTCCAAAAATTAATAACCTCCCCCCTCTCCGTGTATTAAGGACTCGAGATTACAATAAAAACCCATATGACTAGAGAAGACCAATCAAGATTTTTACTTTCTTTATAGTTTTAACTTTTATATAGTTAAGTTAGCAATCCTCATTTCATGTTTATTTATTTCGAGTTTATTTCTTTCTCAATTTACCAAAGGAAAATTGATCTGCTTCACAAACTTGGGCATTTTTCGATGACTACAAGACTGTGTGTAAAATTTGTGCAATAAAAGTATATATAGATAAAGTAGTATGTATAGTATGTATATATTTATGTTGTTATATAAAAAAAATCTAATTATGTTGCACAAAACATCTATATATAGCATAAACATCTATAAAAGCCTCATTTTATTTATTTATTTTCAAAATGACTTAACGTATCCATAAAGATATTGCATTGCATTAAAATCTGTAAAAAGTTGCATAAACTTGTGATTTTGTAGATAGGTTAACATAAAATATTCAGATAAATAAAAATACCATGCAATGTTAATTGTTTTTTCTAAATTAGAAGAAACTCTAAAAAAAAAAATGTATTTATTTGAGTTTTAGAACTTGCTTAAGTTTGCCAAAAATGGGTTTAAAAAAGGGTTAAAAAGTCAAAAAAAAAGACAATCGAGGCACTTGAGCAACCCCTAAAAATGTATATTTATATACACACATATTGTATACTATATATAACATAACAAATATATATATTGCTCTATTTTAAATATCTTTTAATATTGAGCACTCTTTTTCTTTGACTCAATGCATTAGTTTTGCTTATGTCTCTGTTTTTATGACTAAGCAACTCATTCTATTATCTCTTAATGAGGGTACAGCTTTAAAACTCAGTTTTATGGTTCTGAGGCTGGCTGGTAGTCAGATTTTTTGAATTCTGGGGTAGCTCTCAGAGAGGCTGATTCCTTTAACAGCTGAAAAACATCAAAATATTACCAGTGCCATGTTGCACATGAATAGTGTCCCTGTTTGTACTTTTAGTGTGCATTGTCAAAGTAACATTTAGAGCACGGCTTAAGGTTTATAAATGTAATTTCTTGGGCTATTAAACAGTGTACTGAGTACTGTCTATGCTATAAGTCAAGTTCTTTAACAAATTTAAAAATGAATAAAGTACCAAAAACTATAAAACACTAAAAACCATCGTCATTACCAAGTTCTCTAAACTATTCACTAATATTTGTGCTCTTCAAAGTAACTTTTCTTCTGTTGAGTCTTACAAAGTTCACCAGACCCACTTGCTCTTTGTGAGACTAATTTGAGTTCAGCTATCTCATCTTGTGATCTTAGTGTTGATGGTTATCTTCCTTTAATTCGTAAAGACTCCAATAGTCACATGCTTGGCCTGGGCATTTATATTCATAAGAATTCATCCATTTGTCGAGAAACTAGTTTTAAATCCACAGAATATTCTTTTATGTGCTTTCATTTTGCACCACTTCACTCTATCATCTTTCTCTTTGTTCTATATCGCTCTCCTTCATCTCAAACAGCACTCTTTTTGATGTTATTTGTGATCAAATTGGCCAAGCCCTCTCTCTTTATCCATCAGTCAATATTGTTGTTGTTGGTGACTTTAATTCTTATCACACTCTAGGCTCTAGTGTCAGTGACTCTGCAGGCGTTAAAGCTCACAACTTTTGCCTTTCTTAATCTCTAACTCAAATAATTAACTTTCCAACTCGCTTTCCAGACAACCCGAATCGTTTACCTTCTCTACTCGACTTATGTCTTGTTTCTGATCTTAGTCTGTGCTCAGTTTCACCCTTGAGCGCTTCTGATCACGATTTGAGCATGAAATCTTTTATTCCCTCTCAACAATTCCAGGTCAAGCCTCACTCTTCTCCATGGTTTTCCTCACATTGCGCTGCTGCAATTGCCAATCGAAACCATTACTTCCATATCTATCAGCAAAACAATTCTCCAGAAAACAGATGTCTGTTTATTACTGCTAGGAACCATTGTAAAAAGGTTTTGTCTAACGCCAAAGCCCGCTATTTTCAGACCATGAAATCTCGTATTTCATCACAAAAATTAGACTCTCGTGACTTCTGGAGAATCTTTAATAGTATCAATAATAAGGGCAAGTCTGTAATTCTACCTCTTTTGTATGGTTCAGACTTTGTCACCTCACCTAAAAACAAAGCTGAATTGTTTGCCAAGGACTTTTCATCAATATCGTCTCTTGATTCCACTAGTTGTGTTCTAACTGATATAGCCGTCAAACAGGTTGATCCATTGCTTGACATCCATATCACTCCAGCTTCTGTATCTAAAGTCATTTCCTGCTTAGACTCTTCTACAGCTTGCGGCCCGGACAACATACCCGTTATAGTCTTGCAGAAGTGTTCTCCGGAGCTGTCGTCTATCCTTTCAAAACTATTTAACAAGTGCTTATCAGAGTCTTGTTTTCCAGCCTGCTGGAAAGCAGCATCTGTTATCCCTATTTAATAAAATAAAAATTCTGGAGAGCGATCTGATTCGTCTAACTACCATCCCATTAGTCTTCTCCTTATCATAGACAAGGTTTTTGAGTCTTAAATTAACAAGCATTTAATCTCTTATCTTAAATCTAATAACTTACTTTCTGATCATCAATATGGATTTTGATCTTCTCGTTCTACAGCTGATTTTCTAACAGTAATAACCAATAGGTTTTATCTTGCATTAAATAAAGGTAGAGAGGTTAAGGTCTTTGCTCATTGCTCTTGACATTTGACTAAGCTCATTGCTCTTGACATTTCTAAAGCTTTTGATAATGTTTGGCATGCTAGTATTCTCCATAAGCCTTCTTCTTACGGTGTACCTGGTAACGTATTAAGATTATTGAAACCTTCCTTTCCAATTGTATTATAATAGCACTTATCTTCATATTCTGTAACTTCATGGTTTCCTTAAGGTTCAATCCTTAGCCCTATACTCTTTTTAATTTACATTAACGATCTTCCAGATATTCTCACATCTAAGGTGGCATTGTTTGCTACTACCATTTATTCTTTTCATGATAAGAAGCCAACACTCTCTGGCTGGTTAGAGAGGGTATTTAAGCTTGAAAAGGATCTCACTTCTGCTACAGCATGGGGCTCACAGTGGCTGATGAACTTTTTTCAGCTAATCATTATCGCAAAAGTTTAGATCTTCCTATATTTATGAAGGATAATATTCCTGATGAGTCATCTACCTTTCATCTTCTAGGATTAACTCTTACTTCCGATATTTCTTGAAAACCAATTACCAAATCTGTTTCAAAATTAGCATCTGCTAAGGTTGCATCTCTTAATCGAGCTCGATACTTTCTTACTCCTGATTCTATTCTCTATCTCTATAAATCTCAAATCCGACCTTGGATGGAATACTGTTGCCATATCTGGGGCGGATCTTTTAATATTACCCTTTCTCTTTTGGACAAGGTGCAAAAACACATTGTAAGCATAGTTGGACTGTCTCTTGCAGCCAACCCTTAATAATTACCACATTGTTGTAATGTTGCTTCTCATTCTCTTTTCTACAAATACCATAATGGGCACTGCTCTAAATAGCTAGCGCCTCTTGTGCCATCTACTAAAATTTATTTGTGTTACTCATCATTTAATCAAGTCTCATCCTTTTACTGTGACTTTTCCTAAGTGCTACAAAAATTCTTATTCGTCTAGTTTTTTTCCTTGAACATCAGTT